AGAAGCCCCGAAGAAACCCGGAAGAGGCCCCCAAGACGCCACAAGAAGGCTCCAAGAGGACTCCCAACAGAGCCCCGAGAGCCCAAATTCGTTGATTTTCTATGTGTTGTTTGAAGGACTTCGCCCTTCTCGCCTTGTCGGCTTTCCCAATCTCCATGCCAGCTCAAGGGGTCACCAAGACCACCCCGAAACAGCCCGAGAAGCCCACAGGGCCATGACCTCAGGGGGGCGGGGGGAGCGATCCCACTCGAGACCTTCGCGAGGTTCACGGGCGAACCCATTCAGCGGGTGGCAGAGGGTTTTGTTCGATCATATACGCATTGGACGGGACAGCCCTGGATGGTACGTTTTATATTATATATAAGGTGTGTGTATATATATACATATATATATATATATGTATATTCATATATATATATATATATATATGTGTGTGTGTGTATGCAAAACAATGCGCCGGGCCCCCTCCCGGGGCGCCATCCACCTCGCTCACATTTGATGTACGCTGCCGGTACCGCGCTTCCCGGCCTCCCGGGGAGCCCAAGACAGTCCAAGACGACCCCAAGAAGCCCCCACAACGTAACCGAATTGCCCAAGACGCTCCCAAGCAACCCAGGATAGCTTTCGGGCGGCTCTCCAGACTCCCAGGAGGCTTCCGAGAGACCTCAAGAGAGCTCCGAGAGGCTTCCCGAGAGCGCCCGGAGAACCCAGAATCGTTAATTTTACTGTTTTTTCTCCAGGTTTTTTTGGTCTTCTCATCATTTCATGCTTCCAACGCTCCAAGACAGCCGAAAAGGCCCCCAAGACCGCCCAAGCGCCCTCAAGACGGCCCCAAGGCGGGCCAAGACGGTCCCAAGATTGTCGAAGAGGCACCCCGGTCAGCTCCAGACCACCCTAGAACAGGCCCCAGATGAGCCCAAGAGCGGGAGCAGGAGGCCGCCAGAGACCTCCGAGATGACTCTGAGACCCCCCAGAGGCCTCCACCCAGACCCCTGAGGCTCCCAACAAAATCCGCGACGAGGCCCCCAAATCAGCCCAAGAGAGCTTCGAGAGCCGTTCCAAGAGAGCCCGAAGAGGGTAACATCGTTGCTTTCCACTGGTTTTTGTCGACGCTCTTCGCCTTCTCACGTTTTCCCGCTTCCAACACTTCAAGGCAAAGAACTTTGAACAAAAACAGTGAAGTTCAGAGAATCTTGTTTTTCAAGTTGGGACTCCTACTCCCTATCCTCTTCCTCGAGCCCCATCAAGACTTCGGGGTCACATGCAACAATGATTCGGGAATGCTGATGAACTCTCTGACGCTGTCTTTGCACTCTCTTTGGTCGTCTTCGTGTCCTGTTGGCTGCCCCTGAAACCATTGTAGAAATCGGCATCCCATGATCCTATGAGTTGAAGCAGTGGAATTTTAGAAGTCCTTTTTTCAAACTCACCCCTGCTTATGTTTGCACGAAGACCCCGAGAGGCAGCCCAACAGACCGTGGCCTGCATGCAGAAAACGTCTAATCCACAGCCCAGGCACTACAACTTGAAAAAAAAGGAAATCCCAATATTTAGTTTTTTTTCAAAGTTCGCCCCCCTGTCCATTATTGCACACCAGTCCACAATTAAGGCCCCAGGAAAGGACCCAGGAAGCCTTCGAGGGCCCCAAGTCGTTGAACACCTAACGGCAATACAGATTTCTGCATTTCCGCAGTTCCCCTTGTATACGATTCCGAGGCTTGCGCAGGGCCTCCAAGAGAGTCCCTCGATGCAAGAAACGACAAGGATGAGATTCCATACGTTCGCCCATCAAGCCTAGCTAGAACTTGAGCGCGCGCGAAGCGCGCGCGATGGTTCTAATATGTATATATCTCGCTCTTTCTCTCCAAGGGGGAGCCGCAAGGGGTAGGGGCATTCCCGGGTTCGCGCCCAGATTTTGAGCATGTCTCAGGACGTTTGCCTGATTCTGCCCCCTTCCAGACGTGATTTGCTTTTGTGGTCCAGTGCTCGCCGTGGTACAGAAGGCGTGGCATTTGGACGCCGCCAGGCGGAACCGCTCGGGGTGGGGAGACTTCAGGATTCGCGTTCCCATTGGGAGGATGTCTCCGGTGGTTTGCATGTTTCTGCCCCCCATATTTTTCTTTGGACCGGTGTGCTTCTCACTCACTCACCTCCTTCATTTCTCCCCCACTCGGACGCACTCATCCGCAATCGGACTTGCTCAGCATCACCTCTTCCTGACTCATTGTGACTCATCGCATTCAGCCCTCGCTCGCACTCATCTTAGATTAGATCCAGATGTATACATGCTTACTCCTTGCTCGTACTCAGAGCCGCTTAAACTCAGATTCACCCACATTCAGACCAACTCAGACTCAGACTCACTCACACTCAGACTCATCAGATGTCAGACTCACTCATACTCAGACCACCTCGCACCCATGGTCACTCGCATTCAGATTTGTATTCGTCACACTCAAGCTCAGACTTACCCACACTCAGACTCATTCTCACTCAGACCCACTCGCACGATTCGCTCGCGCTCAGACTGATTCTTTTTCAAACCCATTCGTATTCACACTGATTATTTCCAGACTACGATCTGACTCGCTTGCACTCAGATCTTCCACTCTCATTCATTCGCACTCAAGTTCACGCACACATTGCGATATAGCCGACGTGGCATTTGGGCATCCCAAGTGCCAGCAGGCGCCGCAAGTAGCTCGCCAGAGTGGGTGTAGCAACGCCATGCGCGTTTGCCTGAGTTGCCGCGGGAAGACCGGCAAGAGGAACTCTCCTCGCTCTTCCACTTGTGTTTCTTGCGTCTGTCCTGTATTATTTCCAGGGGAGGAGAAGGACGTAACTGAAGTCGTCGCTGTCGTCGTCGTCATCATTTTCGCCCGTGTCGTCTACGCGGACTCGCCCTCACACCCAGAATGCTCATGGACAGAGTTTCTTAACGAAACGTGACAGGAATCTGATATGCACATGTTGGGATCTCTGCGTCGAGTAACTTTACCCTTTTGCTCCTCCTGCTCCTCCTCTCCTCTTCCCCTCCGCTTCTTGACTGGGGGGGGGGTCCAGGGGTCGGAGTCGTAATGGACGTCGTGTCTTGGTGGCAGGCGGGCGAGAGAGTGTCGGCCTTTTCGCAACTCTCGTTGTGGTCCCCCTCATCTGATCCCTCGTTCTATCTCCCTTCAGCAGGGCCCATTTCGATCAGATCGATCTGATTCGATATCGGTTCTGGCTGGCCCGATTCGATTCGATTCCGATTTTCGGGCGCTCCGATGCGGCTCGATGTTTGCATGGTGCTCTGGTGCAATCAGGCGCCCCGGATTCGATTCGATCTGGGCTGTGAGCCGATGCGGCCCGACTCGATACATTTTCTGGTCCGATCCGAGTCCCTGGTTCGAGGCTGACTTTTCCTGCCTCCGCTTCTTGCCACCGCCTTCTGGATGGTGGGAGGGGGGCCTCAGCAGATTCAGTATCGTTTAAGCGACCCCTATCTCCATCCCCATCCCCATCCAGACCCGCACCATCTTACAACCCCAGTTGGGGACACGCGCTTCGAAACCCGAAAGAAGCGGCCAACGTCTCCATCCAGGGAGGCCACTCGGCCAGTGGGGCCGAGGCCACGCCGCCCACGGGGATAGGGGTCGGCTAAAGGATGCTCATTAGTATAGGGAGACTTCGACTTCTTGCCCCCGGCGGGCGGCGGAGGGGGGCTCGCGTCACAGGAAGCCACATCCAGTGTAGTCGCTGGCGCGGGCTGCGATGGGCCGTATGAGCCACGGCAGAAATGCGCGGGGACCGCGCTTGGCGCGGCCTCCCCGCTCTCCTCTGCGGGCCTTCCCGCCCCTGCCCGCTTCCCCCCCCTCCCTTTCTCGGGGGCACCCAGACGGGGTGTGGACCACACCGTGTTGTGAGTTGGTGGGGGTTCGGGGTCACCGCACGGTTTTGGGACTCGGGTCGTTCTCCGAGGATGTCTCGGACGACTGGGGCATCCGAGGTCCCAAAACCGTGCGTTGACGGACCGCGCGGTGAGGTCTTGGGGCATTTCTAAGTCACCGCAGGGTCCGTCACCGTACCGTGCCGGGACTCCACTTTCTCCCTCTCCCTCCCCCCTCCTCCTCTTTCCCCCCATCTCTGCTTCGGTGCTGTGCAGGCCTCGCTGCCTGCTGATCTGATGATGTCCTCCGCCCCCGATTGCTCGTTGGACGCTCTCGGGGCACTTGGCGACGAGCACGTAGGTGAGCAAGTTTGTTGGATGCTGGCCGAAGTCACAGAAATCAACGTTGGCAGCGTAGGTGTGATATTTCGGGAAGAAGTGCTGTGGAGAGGATCGAACAAAGGAGGGGCTGTTTGGAAGGGAAGGTGGGGGCTGTTTGGAAGGGGCCGTATGATCAGGGGAGAAGAGGCAACACGAGAGGAGAGAGCCGATAATTGTGGGAAGCGGTGGCTAACATCCCGCAGCCGTGCCTGGATTGTGGGTCACAGGCCTCTAGGATGTTCGTTGGAATGTCGCGATGCGCCTCTCGGGGGCCTCTTGGGGGCCGTTTTGAGGCCTCTTGAGGTCCGTTTTGATGCTTCTTGGGGCCTCTGCGGGGCCTTTTGGGGTCTCTTGCGGGCCTCTTGGGGCCTTCTTGGGGCTTTTTTGGGGCCTCGTTGGGGCTTGGAGGGGCGGACGACTCCGATTTTCGGTTCGTGTTCCCCCTGTTGGACCCTTCTTGGGGCTGTCTTTAGGCCGTTTTGGGCGCCTCTGGGGCCGTCTTGGGGTCCTCTTGGGCCGTGCTGTGGCCCTCCTGAGTGCCCCTTGGGCCGTCTTGGTGCTGTCCTTGGGGCCTCTCTGGCCGTCTCTGAGCGTCGAAAACTCGAAAAAGTAAAGGCCCTTCAAATCACTGAACGACCTATGGCAAATACGTGATGTTGGCCTCTGGGGGCCGTCTTGGAAAGGCTCTTAGAGCACGATCTGGCGATATTTCTAAGTATCCAGTGAATGTAGTTGATTTGTTGTGGCTATGCGGCGATATGCGGTCTTTATGCAAGCATGCTGTCTGTAATCAATTTTGGGCTCAAGACAAGAGCTCCTGTGTTGAGCTGAGCGAAGGAAACACCCTTTCACTATCACACCCTGTTCGGTAGCGTTGCTACCGACCATGGTAGCAGAGTTCCTGCTCCTGTGGGCATCACGGCGATATCTTGCACTGCTCACGGTGGCAGAACACATATCCAGGCGTTTCATATTTGCAAAAACGACAATCGTTTCGAGGTTTCTGCTCGTGACGGTGTCTGCGGTTCAGCTAATGACAACGTTCAAGAGGTTCGAGCAGTTCGACGACACAGATCCCGGGGTGCTTGCTTGCAGCGGGGCTCGAGGAGCCCAGGGTTCAGAACGGTTTTAACGAGAGGTCCAGGGCTATGCCGCATCACTGAAGAAACACATGACATTCTGGCGGGACCGAGGCCCTGGAGCCATGTACGAGGCGAGGCAAAGTTGGCGGTGCAGGACTTCGGCCCTGCGGAGCTGTGGACGGAGAGTGGGTTGGCGACTCTGTTGGCGAAGCTGGCGAAGCTGGCGGAGAGTTTGCCAGTGGCGATCCTGAAGCAGACGCCCAGGGCGTAAAATGGACTGTTTGAGGAGATTCGCTTCAAGACGGACATGAGTCTGTATCCGACGGAGTTGAGCATGCCACAAGACGAGTTTCGGAGAGCCGACCCCGAAAGTGGGATTCCGGACGCAACAAAAGGCTACATTTGCGTGACATGTAGCAGCTTGAGCCAGAGCGAGAAGTATCGCGTCATTGGTCTTGCGGGCTCGAGTTTGAAGCTGAGCGCAATCCGCGCGCATTTTATGCGACCTGCACCAGAACAGGGAGCCACCGTCGCTACAGAGACCGAGAGGGAAGATCGGGCGGAGGTAATCTACGACGGTAACAGGTATGCGATGGTCACAGAGGCCGGCGGTCAGGATGAGCACCAGGAGGCTGATGATGAAGACGAGACCTGGGCGGCAGTTGCGAAGGAGGCCGAAGCCAGCGAGGACATGGCAGACGGAGAGTGCAACGACAGACTCCTGTGAGTTCGAAGCGGAGATCGCCAATGACACCGAAGGACAGGCGGCGCTCGAGGATATGGGCGAGACTGGCACTGAGGCGGGTGTTGCGCTGGCCACCTGCCAGGTGAGCTAGGAAAAGGTGGCCGACCTCGTCAGGGCGAGGGCGTAAGGGCAAAGGCAGAGGCACGGGGGGCCGAGGACAACGAGACTCGCCTTCGTCAGCGTTGTCAACTGGCGCGCCCGGGCTGGCCAGGTGCGACGGCTGCAATCTGTTTGGACGCCGAGCTGGGGACCCCCCTTGTCCTGCGATGGTTCGTTTCGGCTCGCCGCCGCACGGCGACCCGGTCGGCCGCGGCCGCCAACGGAAGGCCGACCCAATTCGAGCGCCTGGGAGAGATGAAGCAGGTGTCCCGTGGGGTCCCGTGGTGTCCCGCGGTGTCCCGTTGAGTGAGATCGATAGCGAGATAGATAGTGCGATCGATAGTGAGATCGACGTGATGCCCCGGGGTGTCCCGTGGTGTGCCGTGGTGTCCTATGGTGTCCCGTTGGGTGAGATCGATGGTGAGACCGATAGTGAGATCGAGAGGTGACCCGCGGTGTCCCGTGGTGTCCCGTGCTGTCCCGTGGTGTCCCGTTGAGTGAGATCGATAGGGAAAGCGATTGAGTCAGATGTTGGTTCCCCCCCTTTTCTCCCCGCCCACAACCTCCTTCTCACCCGGATGGTGGTCGCATGGGTGTGTGTATGTGAGTATGTGTGTATGTGTGTATGTATGTATGTATGTATGTATGTATGTATGTATGCATGTTTGTATATATATATATATATATATGTGTGTGTGTGTGTGTGCGCGCAAGGGCTTCACCTTTGCCGCTGGCCCCCGTTTTAGCATAACGGGATACATACGAGTTACACCAGGATGTCTTGGCGCCGTCCTTGAAGACCGTCCTGATGCTGGCGCTGATTGTGATGCAGACGATGTTGCTGATGATGATGATGATGATGAGGATGATGATGATGATGATGATGATGATGATGCTCACGCTGATGCCGATGGTGATGCTGATGGGGGGTTTTGTTCATGATGGTATTGCGGGCGTTTGTGATGATGTGGATGATGATGGCGATGATGATGACGGTGACGATGACGATGACGACGATGACGATCAACACCGATTATGATGATGACGATTTTGATATTGATGGCGATGATACTGATGATGGTGGTCAAGGGCATGTTTTCAGGGACGCATTGCGTACTCTAGGGGGGATCGTGGCTTCGGTGATACAAGTACGGTATAAGGTACAACGGGCTTATGGCTTGGAGGGCGCGGACATTCCATTCGTCACTCTGGTCCATCGCCTAGAGGACGCGAGCATTACGTAGCTTACGGATGATGTTGGCTTCGAGGTTGCAAGCATGGCGTAATATACGACGGATCGTGGTTTCGGCGCCTGGCCTCGGGGACGCGGCCATTGCATAATCTACGGGGGACCATGGTGTAGGTGATGCTACTATTGCATATTTGACTGGTGATCGTTGTTTCGGTGACGCAACTATTGCATAGTTTACGCGGGCGTATGATGCCGATGGCGCGTGCACGGCATACTTTGCGAGGGTTCGTGGCCTCGGTCGGGGACGCGAGCATTGTATCATTTATTGGGGATCGTCGCTTCGGGAACGCGAACATTGTATCATGCATCAGTGGCCGTGGCTGCGGGCACGGTGCGCGAGCAGTGCGTAATTTTCAAGATCGTGGTCTCGATGGCACAGGCCTGTATACACGTATTCATCTGACGGCTTCGAGGATGCGAATATGGTACAATGCAGGGGGATTGTGGCTTCGAGGACGCAACCGTTGTTGCTTAATGGATGAAAGATCATTGCCTCGTGGACGCAACTATTGCATACTTTACACGGGGCTGTGGCTTCGGGGACGCGAATACTTGGACATTTACGAGGGATGATGGCTTCGGGGGCGCAGATCGACAGTACTTTGTGAAGTGGATTCGGGTGTCGGGGACGCGAAGGTTGTACACTTTGCTAGAGTGTATGACCTCGCGCACGCGAACATCGTAATTTACATGGGTGTATTGCCTCGGGGGCGCGATTCTCGTGTTTTTCTGTGTCCACGGCCCCCGCGGGAATTCTGAGACCCCTGGGAATGCGTGGCGTAGGCTGGTCTAGGGCTTTCCCTCCCTCGCGGACTTCAACAATTCACAGTAGGAAGCAGAAAGTACAACCATCACATTGGAAACTTGACATTTCAACTGTCGCAGGGAGCAGCACGTCTAATCCACGCAGCCTGGTGGCTCCACACCACAAGGCGGCTGGCGGATATAGAGAGATGCCGATGTGTGTATGGAAGTTTACAAATGTGTGTATATATATGAGAGGGGGAGGGAGAAAGAGAGAGGCAGCAAACGAGGGGACGCATATGATGCATAAGGGACGAGGTGCACGCTAGGTGCGCTCGCGCCACATCTGACATCTTACCCCTCCAACTCATTCCATTACAAAGAGTCGACTCCTTCTCTGCCAGCCGATTGCTTGTCCCTTCTGGAGCCCCGCATTATAGCTGCATGGCGTGGCCCATCGTGTGCAGTACAATGGGCAGTGAGAGAGAGTGAAAGAAAGAGAGAGAGAGAGAGAGACAACAAAAGGGAGGAAGAGGCAGGAGGGTGACGCGCCATGAGTAGGAGGCAAGGGGAGAAGGAGGCAGGAGGAAGAGAATGCAGGAGGAGGAAGAGGATTGTGAGGAGGAGGGGGAGGAGGAGGAGGAGGAGGAGGAGGAGGAGGAGGAGCAGGAGCAGGAGGAGGAGGAGGGGGAGGAAGAGGATGAGACAGGAGGCGGAGGAGGAGGTGGAGGAGGAGCAGGAGGATAAGGTAGGCAGAGACGGATGAGGGAGGAGGGTGGGGATAAGATATGATAGGTTAGAACTCCGTTTTGCGCGTGTGGGGGTTGCTGTGAAACTGGGCATTGGATGTTTTTTTGTGCACAGCTCCTACCCCTCACGATCGCAGATCTACTATACAAGGTTACGGCTAGCGCGGGCAGCACTCAAGATGTGCAGAAGAGGTTGAACACATTGGTGTGCAGGCATTCGGCAGGATGATGAGGAGGCAGGTGGAGGAGGGAGCAGGAGGAGGAGGAGGAGGAGGAGGATGCAAGAGGCAGGAGAAGGATCTCCGCAAACTCAACAATCGCAAACACACGGACAACGACCATTCTCCTCACGCAACCTAGAAGATCATCTTGCGGGGTCGTACCGTCGGAGTCATTTGCGAGGGATCGTGGCCTCCTGAGCGCGGATCCTGTTTGTTTTGCCCGACCTTCCTCTTTGGTGGGTCCTCGCATGGAATCCGCAGCGCCCCGCGTCCGACCTCCGCCTCCTGCTCCGTCCTCCCCCATTCCGCTTCTGCCCTGCACACCCCTCACACCCTCACAGGCTTCATGGCACTTCAGGGAGTTTCGCCGAATGCTCAAGCGGGTGCGTTCGCGCGACTCCCCGCCCATTCGACACACCCCTGACACGCTTTGTGGCCTCATTAGGGAGCTCCACCGAAGGCTTGGTGGTGCGTCCACCTGCGGTCTACCCTGGGCACACGCCTCACACGCTTCGTGCTCCCGAAGGCCCCCAGGTGCGCCTACACGCGGGCCTCCCACCCATGCCCTCACACCCCTCGCACGTTTCGTGGCCCGTCAGAGAGCTTGACTGAAGTCCCCAGGAGGTGCTTCCACACGCAGTCCCCCGTCCCATTCCGGCACACCCCCGCTCACTTGGCACCAGTCATGAGGATCGTTCCCTTCCGGGAGCTCCGCCTACGGCCCCAGTGGGAGAACTAACCTCGCGTGGCCTCATAGGGGGTCTCTACCGAAGGCTCCAGCGGCAGGGTCCGCATGGCGCCGCCGCCCACTGCGGCACAACCCTCGCACGCTTCGTGGGCCCCACCCGCACTGCCCTGGGGCTCGTCCTCTCGCGGCGCGCTGCCTCGGAGGAGCGGGCCGTCTCCTGCGCTGCTCGCACCTCCTCAGAGCTGGGCCCCTCGCCAGGCAAATTTACAACGCAAGGTTGCGGCTGGCCCCCCCCTGGCGGCGCCTCCAGCGCCGCCCCTGGCGCGCTCCGCGCGCCAGGGAGGGGGGTCCAGCGCGAATCCAAGAAATCCGCGCGGAGCGCCACAAGTTTATTCCCAACCATCCTGTGGTGTTGGGTCCTCGTTTTGAAGAGACGTCGCCCCGCGTTCTCCTCCTCCTCTCCTCCTCCTCCCCTTCCTCCCCCCTCCTCCCCCTCCCACGCCCATTCTGGCACACCCCTCACACGTTTCGTGGCCCCATAGGGAGCTCCACCGAAGGCCCCAGTGGCTGCGCCCGCATGCGGTTCCACCCCCCATTCTGGCACACCCCCCACACGTTTCGTGGCCCCATAGGGAGCTCCACCGAAGGCCCCAGTGGCTGCGCCCGCATGCGGTTCCACCCCCCATTCTGGCACACCCCTCACACGTTTCGTGGCCCCATAGGGAGCTCCACCGAAGGCCCCAGTGGCTGCGCCCGCATGCGGTTCCACCCCCCATTCTGGCACACCCCTCACACGTTTCGTGGCCCCATAGGGAGCTCCACCGAAGGCCCCAGTGGCTGCGCCCGCATGCGGTTCCACCCCCCATTCTGGCACACCCCTCACACGTTTCGTGGCCCCATAGGGAGCTCCACCGAAGGCCCCAGTGGCTGCGCCCGCATGCGGTTCCCCCCCCCATTCTGGCACACCCCTCACACGCTTCGTGGCACCATAGGGAGCTCCACCGAAGGCCCCGGCGGCTGCGCCCGCATGCGGTTCCACCCCCCCATTCTGGCACACCCCTTACACGTTTCGTGGCCCCATAGGGAGCTCCACCGAAGGCCCCAGTGGCTGCGCCCGCATGCGGTTCCACCCCCCATTCTGGCACACCCCTCACACGTTTCGTGGCCCCATAGGGAGCTCCACCGAAGGCCCCAGTGGCTGCGCCCGCATGCGGTTCCACCCCCCATTCTGGCACACCCCTCACACGTTTCGTGGCCCCATAGGGAGCTCCACCGAAGGCCCCAGTGGCTGCGCCCGCATGCGGTTCCACCCCCCATTCTGGCACACCCCTCACACGTTTCGTGGCCCCATAGGGAGCTCCACCGAAGGCCCCAGTGGCTGCGCCCGCATGCGGTTCCACCCCCCATTCTGGCACACCCCTCACACGTTTCGTGGCCCCATAGGGAGCTCCACCGAAGCGCCCCAGTGGCTGCGCTCGCATGCGGTTCCACCCCCCCATTTCGGCACACCCCTCACTCGTTTCGTGGCCCGGGGGCGCCACCGAGGAATATATCCACAATTGCGGTATTCACAACTACGTATGGTTGGGTCTTTCGTCAGGCTAATTTGTTTG